ATTTGAATAGCAATTAACGATAAAATTGCACAATTTGGTCGTTAAATGCTAAAAATGCAACGTACATTATTTTATGGTCTTATTCATTTTGTAAAACAAACTTAATTACTCCTAATTGTAGAATTACATATTAAATGCAAATGTGACGTATTTTTATATTTTTTATTCATTTAACAAATAAACATGCACAGACAAAATATAAATAATTATCCAAAAGTGCCACGAAAATTCAAACATTGCACACAAAGGAAAATTGTTTTATTTAGAATTTTTGGGAGTAATTCTCATATAGGGCAAAAATCACGTGCTCACACCCATAACTTTACGAACTCAAATATATAATTCTCTTTCAATTTCATGCCGAAATTCGTGGTTATAATCCAAAATACACATTCTAGGTCTTTCTTCAAAAATCCCAAATTTCTACTAATTTCCTTGACCAAATCCACATACAAACCTTGTGTTTAGCTTGTAATGAGTAGGAACAACTTACCTTGACATAGATGACGAAAATCCCCACTTGAAGCTCTCCAAAAATCGACCCCCATGAAAGATTTGAGATAAAAATGAGCCAAAACCCGTTTTAAAACACTTCACTGCCCAGGAGACCCTTCTATGCGATTGCATTCCTCCAACCGCGATCGCACAAGCCAAATCCCAAAGGCCTCCAAAATGAACTATGCGATCACACACTCTTCCCCGCGAGCGCATAAGCCAAAAATCCAGCAGCCCCTAAAATGCACTATGCGATCGCACTTCTCTCCATGCGTTCGCATAAGCCAAAACAACAGCCTCCAAATTTTGCACTATGCGATCGCACTCCTCTCTATGCGATCGTATAGAGTAAAAATCTGCTACACTAACACCAGAAAACCAGCAATCACCCACAAGGCTAAAAATGCCCGTTGAGCATCCGAAACACACCCGAGGCCCCAGGACCTCAACCAAACCTACAAACCAGTCCTAATACCTCATTCAAACTTAGTCGAGCCTTGAAATCACATTAAATAACATATAAATCATGAATCGCAACTCGATTCAAGCTTAATGAACTTAGAAATTCCAAACTTCTACATTCGATGCCGAAACCTATCAAATTACGTCCAATTGGCCTCAAATTTTGCACACAAGTCATATTTGACATTACGGACCTACTCCAACTTCCAAGATCGGAATCCAACCCCGATATCGAAATGTCAACTCTCGGTCTTTTTACTAAAAACCTTCAAATTTCTATCTTTAGCCAAATGACTCCAAAATGACCTACAGACCTCCGAATTCACTTTCGATCGCGCTTCCAATACCATAATCACCATACGGAGCTATTCCCAGACTTGGAATCCCAAACGGACATTGATAACACTAAAATGCACTTCAACCCAAACTTATAAGATTCTTCCAAAATTCTAACTTCCACAATAGACGCCGAAACGTTCTCGGGTCTTCCAAAACCCAGTCCGGACATACACCTAAGTCCGAAATCATCATACGAACCTGCTGGAACCTTCGAATCCCGATTGCGAGGTCGTTTACTCAAAAATTCAACCTTAGTCAATTCTTTCAACTTAAATCTTCCGAAATGAGAATTCTCTTTCCAAATCAACTCCGAACTTTTCGGAATTGAATTCCGACCATGTGCACAAGTCATAATACCTGGAATGAAGCTGCTCATGGCCTCAAACAACTGAACGACACGCTAGTGCTCAAAACGACCGGTTGGATCGTTACAGTCCATTCATTGTTCATTTATTGTTCTTCATTTATTGCTCATCATTAATCGCAAAAAGGCCGTCTTTGAGGCCATTGTTATCATTGATCCTTCATCAATCGTTCATCACTATTAGCCCGTCTAGACCTCGAGGCCCTACTCCAGCTAGCTCGAGGCCCAGCCATGTGACCTTATTGGTTTGCATTTCTTATTTTCTTTACTTACACTTAACATTTATTGCTTTACTACTAGTATTAAGATTAATCACATATTTTTAGAACCACAAAATCAAATATAATTGTAGTTACCATTTTCAAGGTAAACAGTTTGGTGCCCACCGTGGGGCTAAAAATATTAGTGATTGTTTTAGTGCTGGTTTTCTGAAAACACAAGTTATTCTTCACACTTTCTTGTCCAAGAATCTTTGATTTCAGGTCAAAAAATGCCTAACTCAGCGAATTCACATGAAAATAACGGTGTTGGGCTTCATGTAAAGAACGGACCAGAAGAACCTCATCACATTATTCACATGATCATTGGAGGAACCGACGTCCCACAGGGACCCATGTTCAAGCGGGCTAGAGTGTCCATCACAGCGGAAAGGCAAACTCAAAGCTGTATACATGATGACGCCCTTATATTTAGAGAAGAAGACATCGAGGCCTTATCCAAACCATATGATGATGCGCTAGTAATCTCTTTTCTTTGGAATACAGTTCAAATTAAACGTGTGCTCGTGGATCCAGGCAGCTCGGCCAACGTAATTAGGTCGAAGGTGGTGGAGCAGGTCAGACTGCTTGACCAATTGCACCCACCTCTCAAATCCTCCATGGATTCAACATGGCAAGCGAGACAACGAAGGGGGAAGTCATCCTTCCAGTCACCGTGTCTGATATAGTTCAAGACACCAAGTTTCATATCATCGAAGGTGACATGGGGTACAACGCCTTACTTGGAAGACCGTGGATACATAATATGAGGGAGGTACCATCAACTCTTCACCAGATGATGAAATTCCCAACAAAAGATGGTATAAAAATGGTGTACGGAAAACAACGTGCAACAAAGGATTTGTTCGCGGTAAACGATGTGGCACCCATCAATTCCCCCCGTCCAAGACGAGTCAGGAAACAGGCTGACTCCCGAGGAACATGTGGTTTACGAGTATTCGAATGAAGACAACAAAAAAGACTTCCTCACTCCTTGAACCTTCATTACCCCCGAGGAATCAGATGCAACGAAATCAACGGTCGAAGTACTTGAACAGGCCGTCTAGATCAAGCATCTTCAATATCGAAAGGTATATCTGGGAATAGGATTGACCCCCGAACTCAGGAAAATACTCATCCAATTCCTTATTGACAACATTGAATGCTTTGCTTGGTCCCATTTAGTCATGACAGGGATCCCACCAGAAACATCCACCCATCGACTAAGCGTCAATCCCAGGTTCAAATTGGTGAAGCAAAAAAGGAGGTCTCAATCCGAGGTAAAACATGCATTCATCAAAGACGAGGTAACAAAACTCCTCAAGATAGGATCGATCAGGGAGGTAAAATACCTCGAATGGTTGGCTAATGTAGTAGTGGTCCCCAAGACAACAACAATAACAACAACAACAACCCAGTATAATCCCACTTAGTGGGGTCTGAGGAGAGTAGTGTGTACGCAGACCTTACCCCTACCCTGGGGTAGAGAGGCTATTTCCAAATACACCCCCGACATCCTTCCCTCTAAGAACTTCCCACCTTGCTCTTGAGGAGACTCGAACTCACAACCTCTTGATTGGAAGTGGAGGTTGCTTACCATTAGAGCAACCCCTCTTGTGCCTAGATTAAATTAAGGAAATAAATTAAGAATGTGCGAAGATTATAAATACTTGAATAAAGCGTGTCCCAAAGACTTATTCCCATTGCCCAACATCGATCGCTTGATCGATGCCACAGTTGGCCACGAGATCCTCACTTTTCTTGATGCCTATTCCTAGTATAAACAAATTCAAATGAACCTAGAAGACAGGGAAAAGACTTCGTTCATCACAAAGTATGGTACATATTGCTATAACGTAATGCCCTTCAGACTAAAAAACGTAGGAGCTACGTACCAATGCCTAGTTAATAAGATGTTTGAACATCAAATAGGCAAATCTATGGAAGTTTACATTGATGACATCCTAGTTAAGTCCCTGCGTGTAGAGGATCATTTGACTCATTTGCAGGAAATGTTCGATATCCTTAGAAATTATAACATGAAGCTTAACCCCGAGAAATGTGCCTTCGGAGTAGGATCAGGAAAGTTTTTAGGCTTCATGGTGTCGAATAGGGGGATCGAGATTAACCCCAACAAAATCAAGGCCATTGAAGAAATCACAATGGTGAACAATGTGAAGGCTGTCCCGCGACTGACCCGGCGGATAGTGGCCTTAGGCCGATTCATCTCAAGGTCATCAGATCGGAGTCATCATTATTTCTCCTTGCTCAAAAAGAAAAATAGATTTGAATGGACTGCGAAATGCCAGCACGCTTTAGAGGAGCTAAAACGGTATCTCTCAAGCCCGCCTTTGCTCCACACCCCGAAAGAAGATGAAACGTTGCCGTATCTGAGGTAGCAGTAAGTGGTGTGCTGGTTCGGGAAGAACAAGGTATGCAAATCCATGTTTATTACATAAGTTGGACTCTAGGAGATGCTGAAACCAGATACCCCCACTTAGAAAAATTAGCTCTTGCATTAATAAGTGCATATTGAAAATTAAAACCTTATTTTCAATACCATCTTATATGTTTTTAACAACATACCCTCTTCGAAACATCTTGCACAAGCCTGAACTATCAGGCAGATTGGCCAAATAGGCCATCAAACTCGAAGGGTATGATATCGAGTATCAACCTTGGACGACCATCAAGTCCCAAATTTTGGCTTTCGTGGCTGATTTTACGCCCGCCCTCATGCCCAAGGTAAAGAAATAACTCTTGCTAGAGACGGGCACATCATCAAGGGTATGGACCCTATTCACCGATGGTGCCTCGAACGTAAAATGGTCCGGGCTCGGCATCGTTCTGAAACTGCCTACGTGTAGAATGATTATTCAATCTATAAAAACTCCAAAATTCACTAACAATGAAGTCGAGTATGAGGCTATGATTGCATGTCTCGAGCTGGCCAAGAGCCTAGGAGCAGAAGTAGTCAAAGCAAAATGCGACTCCCTCCTGGTAGTTAACCAAGTGAACGGGAGCTTCGAGGTTCGAGAAGACAAGATGCAAAGGTACTTAGACAAACTACAAGTCATATTGCATTGTTTCAAAGAATGGACTCTGGTCCACATTCCCCGAATTAGAACAGCGAGGCCGATGCACTCGTGAACCTAGGGTCGCCCATCGAAGAAGATGACATACTCCCAAGGGCTGTTGTACAGTTGTCCAAATCGGTGATCAAGGAAGGCCACGTCGAGATCAACTCGGCAAGTCTAACATGGGATTAGAGGAATAAATATATCTACTATTTGAAAAACGGGAAGCTGCCCATGGATCCAAAGGAATCGAGGGCCCTACGAGCCAAAGCAGTTCAATTTTCTCTCGACGAGAATGGAAAACTATATAGAAGGACCTTCGACAGACCTCTAGCAGTATGTTTGGGACCAGGAGACACCGATTATGTTCCTCGAAAAATCCATGAGTGCAATTGTGGAAATCATTTCGGCGCTGATTCTTTAGTTCGAAAGGTGATCAGAGTAGGATACTATTGTGATAGCATGGATAATGACACCAAGGAATTTGTTCGAAGATGTGACAAATGTCAAAGGTTTGCACCGATGATTTACCAACCTGGGGAACAACTACATTCAGTCTTATCACCATGGCCATTCATGAAATTGGGGATGGACATCGTCGGCCCCTTACCAATGGCACTAGGTAAAGCCAGAGTTATTCTATTTATGACTGACTATTTCTTAAAATGGGTGGAAGCACAGACCTTCAAGAAGATAAGAGAAAAAGAAGTCATCAACTTCATCTGGGATCACATCATATACCGATTTGGGATCCTTTCCGAGATTGCATGCGATAATGGGAAGCGGTTCATAGGCAGCAAGGTGACAAAACTCCTCGAAGATCATAAGATCAAGAGGATCCTTTCAACACCCTTCACCCATGCACGAATAGACAGGGCGAGTCCACAAACAAGACCGTCATCCAAAACTTGAAAAAGAGGTTAGAAAATGCGAAGGGAAAATGGAGTGAGGTATTGCCCGAAGTACTATGGGCATACCGAACAACTTCAAAGTCAAGCATTGGAGAGACACCGTTCTATTTGGTATACGAGTTTGAGGCTCAGATACTGGTCGAAGTCAGAGAACCAAGCGCTAGATTTTGGCATGACTTTGAGGACTCGAACAACGAGGCCATGACTATAGCCCTCGAGCTACTAGATGAAAAGCGAGAGGCTGCACCAGTCCGAATGGCCGTCCAAAAATAGAGGATTGAGATATATTATAACAGGAGAACAAACCTCCGACACTTCGGAATCGGTGACTTAGTCCTAAGGAAAGTCACCCTCAACACTCGAAACCTAAATGAAAGGAAGCTAGGCCCGAGCTGGGAAGGACCGTACCACATCCTCGGAATAGTAAGCAAGGGGTCCTACAAACTTGGCACCATGGAAGGTGAACAACTTCCAAGCAATTGGAACATATCGATGCTCAAACGCTATTATTGCTAAAGGTATAATCTTCTCCCTTTTTTGCTTTAGGACTCACACCGATTTCTTATAGGTGTCCGCCGAAAGACGCCGAAGCACCTTTCGACTCAAAAACCTTGGGTTTTGAAGCATGCATTGCACTCTTTTTCCCTTAGACCGAATTTTATCCCGAACAAGTTTTACCGGCATGATTTTTGACAAGGCAACATCCATATGCTACCCAAGGAGAACTCATCAAGTATTCAAGGCTTCTCTTTGATCAACCTCAACTGGGGGGCATCACCCCGGGAGGAGGTCACCTCTTCAAAGAACTCAAACTATGCCTAGGAGGACCCCGATAGGAGAATGATTTATTGGGCCAAACGTTCGAATGAACCGTGTCCATGTAGATTAATTGGGCCTCCGAAGGCAAAAAACATGTACACATACATCAAATAATTGAGGAAGCCTCTTTATCTCATCAAAACACTTTGTGCCTCAAAGAAGTCCACCACTTTATCATAAGATAGCTCGAGGGACAAAAGCGAACTCTCAAACACTCGGGTACTGTCGCCGACAGTCCGCTCTTCGAACCATCGAAAACTCGAATTCGTAAGACCTCGATCAGGCAACTTCAATATCGTAAGCCCTTAGAGAGGAACCTCAAATCTATAAGACCTTAACAAGGCATGCCAAAACTTATAAGACCTTAAAAAGACATAACCCCGATATTAAGACCAAGGCTATATATCGAACTTATAAGACCTCTAAACAGGCATACCCTCGATATAGACGCCGAGGTCATCTCACCATGGGACTATCGACTATGGTCGTATCAAAAGGCTCGGACCAAACTAATGTGGCTCAGAGACGTCCGATCGCCACCCTAAAAATTAAAGGCCTCCAAATACTTCAAAAATACTTCGAAGAGAATCGGTTAATCAAGCTACCCTCGACATATTCAAAGGAGCTTCGATAATATTAGCTCCTAACAAAAAAGGGCTTCGAAAACAATCAACCTTCGATAACAAGGTTTCAAAAACCCAACTTTCGAGTGAGCCTCCCGAGGTACTTAGCTATCGTCATATATCGACTAATAATCGAGGTTCTCGTTTGAGCCAGCAAAGAGTCGGACAAACATAAAACATGCCAAGGCATAATCTAAACTTCAAAAGTCATTAGCCAAAATGAGGGGAACTACAAAAGTCATTACCCAATCTAAAAGTGCCTAAGGGCTAGCCTAAAAAAGCGTAAGGGCCAAAGCATAAGAGCCTAAGGGCCAGCCTAAAGAGCCTAAGGGCCAATGCATAAGAGCCTAAGGGCCAGCCAAAAAAGCCTCAGGGCTATCTTCATTTTGAGTTCGAGCAAACGCTCACTCGACTATCAAGCCCAAGGGCTACCCGAGTCCGGGAAAATTCTCACTTGGGGACTGTGTATAAAGCCTTAGGTTTATCAAACAAATCTTCATTCAAAGGCTACTCAATTTTGAGAAAACCCTCACTCGG